CAAATAATGGGTAAGAAGAAATAGCAAGAAAATTAAAAATTTAGACAGAACGGGTCAAAAAGCAGTAATGCTCCACTTACTGTTCTTTGATCCGTTCTGTAAATAGATCTGTATATACTTTTAGTTAGTTTAGTTAGTTCTGAATATTTTTTTAGATCTTATCAAATAATTTAAAAAAGCTGTAAATGTGACTAAAGTGGTCATCATAAGTAATTTTATCCAACATTTTTTCTGCGAAATTGTAAAACTAACATATTATAATTATAAATAACAGTTGAGTAGAAAAGAAGTCAATTAAAAAGTTTGTGCTCATATTTTTTTTTTTACAATCTTTTACAGTATGTTTGTTGTATTCCTTTCAAAAAAGTAAATTATCAAAAAAATAACTATATATTTTTGTCTTGACAGGCTGTCAAGGATTGTATATGAGAATAAATGAACTCTATTATTTGATCAGGTACAGCAAGTGGACAATTTTTTGAGAAACACTGTAAATTGATAAAAAAAAAAAAAAATCATAAAAATTATGATTATTATTTGAGGATTTTATCTGAAACAAATAATGAAGAATTGTATATATTTTAAAAGATACATCAAGAAAAATAGTATATTAATACCTTATCAGGCTTTAGAGAAAAAAAGATTAAGAGTTATAGTTTTCCCTCTTGCCTAAAGTGATTTTTGTCAGTAATTTACAGTTCTCTGCAAGTATAATATTTTCAGAAATAAAAACCACTTTAAATATAAATCATTTTTTCTCTCCTTTAAGATATTGGGTAGAAAAATTTCGAGTTTCAGGTCAACTTTTTTTGCTTACAAAATGTGATTGTTTATTTATTTTTTTGCATAACAGTCACTGATTTTTTTGTAGAGTTTGAGATTCAACAACTTGTTGATTATAACATTTTATACTACAACAACTGTTTTCTTTTTAGTAAAGCAGAATTTTAGTATTATAAATGTACACACACACACACACAGATGTACAATACAGTAAATCTCTCTATTTCAAAATTTTATTTTCATTAACATTTTCAGATTCTTACATGCTGGAACTTTCCATTATAAACACTGAAAAATCTTATAATAAACAAATGACAACACAAGAAATACCAATGTTAAACAAAAATATATTGTAACTATTTCTATTTTTACAAAAGTATACTTTTTTGACATTCAACTTGAAGAACATTTTTAAAGAAATGTTCAACAAAAGTTGTTAAATGGACTGATTTGAAAAATCAAAAAATAACAATAAAAAGTTGTGCAAAAAAGTGGACTTAAAAGATTTTTATTTCAAGATCTTTAATTAAAATAGACAATACAATAAAGACAGATATTAAACATGATCTGTTTTTTTATAGAAAAATAAACTCCTTATTTTTAACATAAATAAATACATTAAAACAATAGATTCAAAATAGTTAAAGTATTAACCTACTAAATCACCTAAAGTCTTGTTGATTCGATTTTTAGCATATAACAGAGTTTTTTTGTAAGATTGTTAGTATCATATACAGTTATAAATAATTAAAATTTGATTATGAACTATATTTTTATTTTTAAATAAAATCTTATAAGATTATAAAAAAAAAATTGATGATTAATTATTCTTACCAGCATTACCATTTATAACTAAAAGATCCGAGATAGAACCATCTTGACAATCATACCAAATATCTGAGGCATACACTTTTATGTTTGTAAAATTTCGCGCATCAGAATTTTCTACTCTATGAATATTAATTCCATTTATATCAACAGAAAACCAATATTTACTGTCCATAAAACTTTGAAATATTTTAACAAAAGTCCACTGATTTAATGGGAGAGGAGGAGTTTCAATGTAGTAACTAACATTTCCACTCACTGCTGCAAAAATAACAAGCTTTCCTGAACCATCTTCGTGAAACCAAACACCTGGATTTCTATCACCATAAGCTCCAAAATTATTACCCAATGTTAAATGAAGGACATTTTTCATGCCTTTTGTATAATTTCTGGGTTTCACATTAAAAGACACAGTGTATACTTTCCTTAAAATATTAAGGGTTCCAATTAAAGAGCCTTGAGTAAGATTAAATTCTTCTTTTTGGTTAATAAAATCTAAATATATATTAAATGTCTTGATATATTAGTATATATATCCAACACTGAAAAAAAATTTTAACTTACTCCAGAGTTGTTTTTATGGCATTTGTAAATGTCATTTTAATTCTAAAGCTTTCATTTGTAAACCTTATTTTAGGATTTTATATTTCTTTAATTTTTGAATATTGTTGGTTATTAAATTATATTTTAGCTGTTATTGTATTTTGATTTATATTTCAAAGTTTAATTTTAAATTCAACTTTTTTAAATTGCACTATTGATTAAACTAAAAAGATAATTTAAAGAAAAAAATTTTGATTTGACATTTTAATTATTTTTGAAGTTAAATTATTAGTTCAGAAAATTTAGCTTTTCATTTTTTTGAAACATTTTAAACTTTATCAAATGAAAAATGATGATCTTTTAATGTTATTTTCAAATAAATAATTTTTTTGAAAATGTTATTTTCAAAAAAATAATTTCAAAAAAAAAAGTTGCAAAACAGTACATTTGTTTATAATTTACTTATTTGATATCACAAAACAACTTTGGAGAATGTCATAAAACTTCAGCATTTAGAAAATGAAACAAAATTAAATATTTATAAAAATTAATTTGTTACATTGGTTTAGTTATTTATTTGTAAGTATACCTTATTTAAAAACATTTAAATAAGATATACTTACAAATAAAATCTTTAATGCATCATGATATTAATATATTTAATTAATTAAACAAAAGTTACATTAAATTTTTTTTTAATAATACTTTTTTTTTAAGTCTACAATTACAAATAAAACAGGAAAATAAATTAAAAAAAAAAAATAATTAAAAATATAAATACATTTAATAATTAATTAAAAATACAATAAAATCATTTATGATGGTAATTTTAATTTCATGAAAGTTCAATTTAATGATTTCATGATTCAAATGAATTCATGATTCAAACTTTTAAATAGTTTTTAATTATTTTAAGTTTACTTTTTTTATGAATTTTCTGAGATTATCTTTTTGTCTATTTAGATTATATTTTTTCTTAAAGCAGTTAATACAGTTTTTAAACAAAAACTAAATTTCAGAACTGCAAAAGCACATTGAGCAATCGTAATATAATTAAACCAAATTTGAACAAAAAATAGAATTACTTAGATTCATTACTTTAAATAGCACCAGTCAAGAAAGCTTATGCTCTGATAGTAATGCTATTCTTTGAATAATCCTTTCTCTTAATAACGAGTTATTCTTACACTATTTGCAGTGCATTTGCAACAGAAATTACTAGTTTTTTATCTTCTTAATTAAACTTATCTAGCTCACTAAGTTAATCAAATTTATTTAACTTAGTCAGATTAAATAAAATTGCAGAAATTATACAACCATCATCTACAATAAAATGATACATTAATTTTAAAAATATTTGGTTTCATAGAATTAATCATTGTACTGAACTTTATATACAAAACTTAGATTTCCATCTGTTTTCTTTATTTTATAATAATAATTTGGAATATTAGAAACAGAATAGCTAGCCTAAAAAGTTTTAGTGGGACGTTTTGGATAAAAATTTGTTTCTTTTTTCTTTAAATACAATCATGGTTGATGCTCAAACAAACCACTATTAAGTAGCCTCCTCGTCTGTAGTGGCCTTCTCAGCCTTGAGGAGTAAATAACAAAAAAAAAAAAAAAAAAAAAAAAAAAAAAAAAAAAACATTATCTCTAATTTCATCAATCAAAACACTTGCATGACTCGTCATTTAGCATATTTGCTACATGAAGTCATTTATCCTTCTAAAATTTTTTCTTTGCACAACCAGTACTAACAAATAGTGTTGACCGTTTATGGTAAAAGACAATTAGTAGAATTAATAGCAGTTCATGTAAAAATCATTAAAATATTTAAGAAAACTAATTAAATTTTATTGTTTTTTAAAAACACACACATACATACACACACACACACACACACATATATACAGAAAGTATTATTTAAAAGTATATATATATATATATATATATATATATATATATATATATATATATATATATATATATATATATATATATATATATATATATATATATATATATATATATATATATATTATAAATTTTCCTAGTCTAAAGCAAAAAATGAATGACAAGAAGTTAAATTACACAATAATGACACAAAGTAAGCAGCAATAACCACTACTTATTAAAGAAAATCCAAATGAAATCTGATCATTTCTTTTTTGAGTCTAATATTTAAGTAGGTACTGTATATATTTGTATAGATATAGATATATAGAATATATTTGAGATTAAGTATATTATTGTAATAATACAAAGTCTGTTGTACGTGTTACAGTGCTCAATCTTATTAAATAATAAAGCTATATATATATATTTATTTATTTAGATGAACAAAAACAAATGCTTAGAGGGATTTAAAGTTTCATGCCAGAAGGCAATCATCAATCATGATTGCCTTCAGGCATAAAACTTTAAATCTCGCAAACCAGTTATTCTTATTCATCTAAGTAAATATATATATATATATTTATATATATATATATATATATATATATATATATATATATATATATATATATATATATATATATATATATATATATATATATATATATATATATATATATATATATATATATTATATATATATATATATATATATATATATAATATATATATATATATATATATATATATATATATATTATATATATATATATATATATATATATATATAATATATATATATATATAATATATATATATATATATATATATATATATATATATATATATATATATATATATATATATATATATATATATATATATATATATATATATATATATGACCCCCCTCAAGTGGTTCTAGTATATATAAAAAAAATTCAGGCAAAAAATGATTACAATTGAACAATATTTAGGGGTAGCTAAAGCAAATTGACATTTTTACTTTTACAAGCTTAAAAAAGATATAGAATCTGTAGCATTTGTAGCAAAAATTGCACATTTGTTTTAGTTTTAAAAAGCAAATGGTAAAAAAATCAATCTGAATTACTATAATTAAAAGACTTTTTAATAATTGAAACCATTAAAAAACACTAGAATAGTTGACATAATTAAAATGAATTAATTTTGAAGTGGATTTCTTTGCATAAAGAAAGTTTGCCCGCTTTTCTTCAATAACTTAAAGAGTTTACTTCAGCTGCTTTTCGCTCTTGAATCAGATTTTGCTGCATCTTAGATCAGAGCAACCTCATTTTCTGCATAGTCATTGGTTAGTGCTTATGATTTCACAATTGTCTCAGCAGCCTTAAAGTCATCTGGGCTGTTCCATATTTCCAGATCTTCAGCTGGTAAAAGATCTGGCATGCCCAGAGTAGCAAATTTATTACTACTCTTCTTAGAAACACAATCAGGAATCAAGAGTTTCGTGTTGTATTGTAGCCAAATCCACCTAGAAACATCTCAAGGGTTCCAATTCTTTCTCTGAGAATCATTTAACTAGTTGACACTTTGTGTTAAAATTTGCCTCAAGATTGAAGGCAAAAGATAATCAAATCCTCCCAAAGATACATTAATGGGAGCTGGAAGAAATATTCTGTTGTATGTGTTTCAATACAACCAGCTCCAACACTGGTTGATGCTAATCAATCAGCTTTTATGCTATAGATGGCTTTTGCCAATTACAACATCAAAGTACTCAAGATTATACAAGATTTTTAAATAACTTTGTAAGGTACCAAAGAGTGTTAACAATAAATTATATAATTTACAACAAAATATTTAAACAATATATCTAAACAAAAATATTGAACATTTTGTCACTTTTAGGTTCTTTTGCAAAATTCTCATATACCAATATTATCACAAAACTAAAATTGTGTTGAACCACATCTGAATATTGATCAACCCTGCTCATATTTGTCCTGAATTATTTTTATATATATTGAAACATAACTAGGGGTTCAAACAATTAAACTTTTTTACTTAGAAAATGAGGACAAGCCTAATATATAAATATATTTGGTTAACATATGTTGACATTTTGGTATATTTTTATGATCTCCAGTTTCCTGTATAAAAACAGATGAAATTTGGTTTGAAAGTAAATGAAAATTCATTGGTTTTAATTTTTATAAAAGATTACCCACCATGATTCCTGATTAATAACTGGCTCCCATAATTCAGTGAATTTTTTTCTTCAGAAGTTTGACACCCTGGGCCTTAGAATATCAGAATTTTATAGTGATTTCAAAATTCATAATGATCTTTTGTATTAAAACTTTAAGAAAAAAAATTGCAAACAAAATGTCATAAAAAACTATCTTTAGTTAAAAATGGTTTCTTTGTATAAAAAAATTAATTGTATATGAATAAATTTTTATTTGAAAACAATATTATTTCTGATATCTCTATAAAATTGTGGTTCTTTTGAGACCCAGGTTGATATACTTTTGAAGTAAAAAAATTCACTGATAAATGGGAGCCATATATATATATATATATATATATATATATATATATATATATATATATATATATATATATATATATATTATATATATATATGATATATATATATATATATATATATATATATATATATATATATATATATATATATATATATATATATATATATATGTATGTATATATATATATGTATATATGTATATATGTATATATATATATATATATGTATGTATGTATAAAAATAAATTAAAAAAAAATTGTATATATATATGTGTATATATGTATGTATACATGCATATGTATGTATATATATGTATATATATATATATATATATGTATATATATATATATATATATATATATATATATATATATATATATATATATATATATATATATATATATATATATATATATATGTATGTATGTATATACATATGTATGTAAATATATATGTATGAATGTATGTATGTATGTGTATACATATATGTATATATATATATATATATATATATATATATATATATATATATATATATATATATATATATATATATATATATATATATATATATATAGTGAAAACTAAATTATATATATATATGTGTGTATGTATATTCATTTTTGTATTTAAAGTTACAAAATTTTTTTAATAAATTTACAAATACCTGTAGGAAGAACAATAATTGGTACAATGCTTCCATCTAAAAACCATTTATATTATTATTATAATTTTAATTTTTAGTATTATCAAATTATATTACTACATAACTTATATAAAAATGTAGTGGAGTGTCCCATAATTTTACTTCATTAAATTTTAATAATCAGAATACAGAATTTACTTTGTTTGTAAATATAAATATAAAAAAATTAAGTCTTTAGCTTATATGTTGAATATGTTGCTGAATCCTTAAAAATAGCTCATAGCTACATAAAATTAAGAAGCCCTACAATGACTATTCGATTGTTGAACTTTTAGAATAAAAATATGGTATTAAATCTTTTAAACTAAACAATCTTATCGAATTTTTGAAATATTCACCAAAACAGCCTCTGTACACAACATATCACATTTTCTACTTTCCAGACAGTAATAATATTTTAAAATTGTCTCCTCGTAATATACCAGGTAATAACACTAAGGGTCATTTTAGTACCATTTGGAGATTCTTAGTTTCAGAAGTATTTTCCAAAAGTAAATCTCAATTCTTACTATGTGTCAAAACTTCATTGCATTAATTGACTGGTATTTTTTATTTACTACAAAAAACTGTGGATGAAATCTTCAATATACTAACAACTATCCCACTGTTCACAAATGTTTTATTCCCAAGATTAATAAAATAAAAAAAATATGAACCTTAACTTTACACATTAAAAAACTGACCCCATATATTTAATATCTTATCCAAGCAAAAAAACCTGCTTGCAATTTCATTAACAAAACCTTTTATATATCAATTAATATTGGATTTGTACCCATTCTGTGGAAATTAGCAAATATTAGTCCAGCCTTTAAAAAAAAAGGTTGCCTATAAAATCTTTGAAAAAAATCTCTAATGACTATAAAATCTTTAAAAAACTTGTAATGAAAAAAATTTGAAGCACATAAATGATAATAAAAAGCTCTCTTCAAATAAACATGGCTTCCTTCATCATAAATCATGGGTAACTAATCTAATAGAAATTTTTGATATTATTTTGCCTTTTATAGCATCTCACCAGTTTATCAATAAAATCTATCCTGATTTCAACAAACATTTGATTCTGTACCTCAAAACAGATTTATATTTTTACTCGTTGAAGTTAAGGCGATTATAAAATATGATAGCGTCTTTATGATATTTTGTTGACTACGACTTATTTCTGTTAAATGATTAGGTCTGTAAATTATAAAATGATGAAGAACATTAAAATTATAAATTTTGCGATATCATAAAAATAAATGTTTATAGTAAAAAAACAGACTAAAGATTTAAAAAAAAAAAAAAAAATCTTCTTAAATTCACAATTGCTTGTCCAAATTTAAATAAGATGTTAAATAAATGCATTTTTTAGGTAAAATGAACACCATAGTTTAAAAATATAATCTGTTCTTATCATTTATTGGCAATTTTTCTTAATTATTATGACAACTATAATAATAGTTAATATACGTCAGAACTAATTAGAGCTAAGATCTATAGTAGGTTAAGGCACTTTTTTAAAAGATTTTAACAAGGTTTATGTTATTGCCGATGACCAAAGTTGATCAAAAGACTACAAAAAGATTCACTATTAGGGGTAGTAAAAAAATTTTTGAAAAAATATAAAAAACAAAACAAGTTTCTTTAAAGATTAAAAAAACCTGAAGCAAAAAAAATATAACATCTAAAGCTTCTTGAATGAAACATTTTGCTAAAGTTGACCTCAAGGGAGCTTATCATCAAATTGAGATGGGCAAAGAGACACAAGAAATAACAATAGTTGATACCCCTATCGTATTGTTAAGATCGACATTTTAACCTTTTGGAATTAAAACTGCAATTGCGATATTTCAAAGAACAACAAAATCTGTTGTTGATGATATTATTGCTAATATAATTATATTTTAAAATGATATATGTGGTTGGTAAAAATGCTGAAGAACTTGAATCAAATTTGAGTAAAATTTTGAGCAAATTGAAAGAATTGAAAGGGATGAGTGTGAATAAAAAAAAATCAGAGAACGAAACAAAAAGTCTTTCATTTTTAGAATACGTTCTGTCAGAAAATGGAGTTACCCCAGATTGTAACTTGGTCAGAAAATACTCAAAATAAACCCTTTTAATGATAAAAAAAGAATTGAGTCATTTATAGGACTAGTAAACATTTATGGTCAACACATTGAAAAATATGCTGGGAATACCTTTAAATAATTTAAGGAAGAAAGGAGTTACATTTAAATGGTGGAAAATACATTAACATGCATTTGAGTTGCTAAAAATTAATCTTTGCAAAGAACCTGTGGTAAAAGTTTATGACATCAATCAAGATCTAGAATTAACAACTGATGCAATTGAAAAAGCTATATCAGGAATACTTTTATAAAATAGTCATCCAGTATTGTATCTAAGGATCTTTATCAGATGCTGAGACAAGATATTCATATATAGAGAAAGAAACGTTGGCTATTGAATGGTCAACTCACAGAACTAGGAATTTTTTATTGGGTAGGAAATTTAAATTGATATCAGATCATAGACCATTAGAGGTTATATTTGATTGTAATAAAGAACTGCATAGAGTGACATCTGCTACAACTTTAATATGGGCCCTGCAAATGATAGTATTTGACTAAGATATAAGCTATAAAAAAGAAAACATTCCTCATGCAAATGCATTATCGAGATTGTCTTTTCTACAAGAAATCTTTATACACTTGGTGGAACCGAATCTTTATACACTTGGTGGAACCGAATCTTTATACACTTGGTGAAACCGAATCTTTATACACTTGGTGGAACCAAATCTTTATACACTTGGTGGAACCGAATCTTTATACACTTGGTGGAACCGAATCTTTATACACTTGGTGGAACCGAATCTTTATACACTTGGTGGAACAGAATCTTTATACACTTGGTGGAACAGAATCTTTATACACTTGGTGGAACAGAATCTTTATACACTTGGTGGAACCGAATTTTTATACACTTGGTGGAACCGAATCTTTATACACTTGGTGGAACCAGATATTGTGAATCTTGAGCAGATAATTAAAGAAACAGAAAACTATAGAGTATTGACGCATATCAAAACCAGAATTAGCAGCAGGTCTGTTTATTTCTATTAGAATTAGCAGCAGATCAATTTGTTTCTACTAGATTTATAAGATCTTTCTGCCACAGAGCAGGTGCTCTGTGGCAGAAAAGGTGCATCAAATTACAATGGTATACATTTTGGCACAATGCAAACTCAATGTAGATTAAAGTTGGAAGCTTGGTGGCCTGGCTATTGTCAAGATGTTGAAAGATATGTGAAAAACTGTGTAGAATGTATGGAGATTAAGGTAAAGAAAGCAAGGATACATGGCCAAAAGAATAGAAACCTTGATGCAGAGTGCATATGGATCATGGCTTCGTACTGGGTGTTGAACTGTTTTAAATTCTAGTAGATTCTTTTTCTGGATGCCACAGTCAACGCAGAACTACAAATTATTTTTTGAGAAATGGAGTTCCAGAAGTTTTGGTATCATTTAATGCTGCAGAATTTTATGATACCACTTTATAAAAGTGAAAAAAGCATGTAACCAATAAAAAATGACAAACAAAAAATTATTTATAAAAATTTTTGAAAAACTGTGAAATGCTATCAAATTGATCAAATCAAGTACAATCAAGTACATCTAACAATTTTTATTTATGAAATTAAGTTACTTGATTTCAGAAACTGATTTTAGACCTACAGTGTCACATTACTTTGAGAGCAGTTATTGTTGATGCAAAAATATTAGTAACAAAAATTATTAGCTTTTTTAATATGATAATAAAAAATAAACTTTTAGTTGTAAAATACTGTGTTGTCTCACTTTCATTTAAAGTTAAATCTTATTTCAAATAATTAAAAAAAAAATTTTTTTTTTTAAATTTTTTGAATTGATTTCTGTTTTGTTTTACATAACAGTTTGAATAAAAAGTTACTACACCACTACCACATCATCTTTATTCATCTTTGTATGGTATACTGTTGTCATATTTGGTTTTTTTAATGACATTCTTAAAGAAAAGATAAAAAAATACATTGTTGTTGGATCTGTATTAGATGTCAAGCTTAGCATCTGACCAGTCATTGTAAGGTTCTCATTACTTTTTATAACAATACAACCAAGGTCGCTGCTCAAGCTTTTATCTATTTTATTAATTCAACCTAATTTAAGTAATTGTTTAGCAAACTCACATATTTAAAATGTAGGTTAAAGGTTTCTTCTTGTTCAAAATACTTTTAATCTAGTTTTTTCCTCAAACATCAATGCTTTGGAAATCTCTTTCATCTTTATGTTTTCCTAACTCACACAATTTACAGTTTTTCAAGTATTCAGTCGTTAATTTACTTTTTTCAATTTACTATTTAATTCTACTTTTGATTTTTTATTCAAAAAAAACTGAATTAAGAATAAAGTACTAATGGTGTCAAACTTTTTATTCCAAAATGAAAGGCTAAAAAGTGAAAAAATAAGTGATCATATTAAATAATGAAATACGAAACTGAAAAAAGTATTAGTCATAGCTCACTTCAAAAATACAGAACTCGTCTATATTATGGAGCAGTCATTTTTAACAGCTTACTCAGCCATTGTTTAACCACAAGGTAAAGTCTTCATAATATCACTCGAAAATATTTATAGTATGTAGGAATATATATATAAATATATATATATATATATATATATATATATATATATATATATATATATATATATATATATATATATATATATATATATATATATATATATATTTATAGGGAGGATCTAACATTTTTTGGCCTTTGAGATAGCAACTACCAAACATGGAGCAAACTCAAACCTTTATATGTTTATGTTTATGTCAAAAAAGGATGCTTTACAAAAAATTGCAATCATTGGAGGCTAGGAACGAAAGAGCCCCAAGTTTCCCCCCCCTACTCCTACCCTAAACATAAGAGCAACACGTTGATAAAATGTTTTTTGCACTATTCTTAACTAAACTTATATTCATCGATAAGATTTAAATTGCATGACAGCGTTCAAAAATTATGACCATATAAAATTTGTAACCTTTTCAAATTAAGAGGGGTTAAGTTTATTGATGATTATAAATCTAGTTGAGAATAGTACAAATGACATTTTATCAACTTGTTGCTTTCACATTTAGGGGTAGAGGGGTAAATATTTTGGGGCTTTTTTTAAATAGGCTACTTGGCAGAAGTTTTAAAAGTAAGCAGAAATCTATGTTAACCAGCCTCCTTCCCTTTTTGTTTATTAATAATTTACTAATTTATAATAAATTATTAAATAAAAAAACAATTATTTTAATACTTAGTAGTCCCCCCTTGCTTCAAAAGACACTTTGAGGTTCTCTTTGTTGAAAAATGAACGCTCTCCAATATTTTGATCCAAACTTCATATAAATGTTCAATGGGATTAATGTCCGTTGACTGTACAGGCATTTGAACGAATGGTTTGCTGTTAAGGTATGGGTTTTTTTGTTTGTTTATTAGTAGATTCAACAACTTTGTAATTTGGTATTTTAATCTCTACCATTACTCCGGATATCACTATTAATTTTTTTTATAAAGTTAAATTTTTAAGCATATTTTATCCTATAAATATAAAACAAACAATTAATAAAAATAATTTTATACAAATATTAGGTGTATTTGTATAAAACTAATACTTACTACTTTTAACCAAACTATTAATTAAAAATATAAAAAGTTCAATGTAGCAATTGCATACATTTCTTTTTTCTATGTTTATATCTTTTTATATGCAATATAAAAAATTCAAAAATAAAACTATTTTTTGTAATATTCTTTAAATAGTATAATTGTTAAAAAAATTTAGCACATATCTTACTCGAAATACTGTTGCTAATAAAAAAGTTTCTTATTGACCCATCTTGAGCCTCATCGTAAGGGTCAGAGACATACACTTTGACATTTTCCGCACTTTGAGCATGATTGTTAATATCAGAAAAGACTTGTTCTCCATTTATTCTGATTGTGTATACATAATTCATTCCTTTTAAAACTTGAACTATTCCAATGCTAATCCATATTGATAATTCATATTGTTTTGTGATGAAGTATTTACTACCAACGAAGCTCAAATCAAAGAAACCATTAAGTGGAGTAACAATTAAAAATGCTCCCTCCTGGTAATGCCAAACACCTAAAACTCCATAACCAGAATCAAGAGAAAAATAAAGAACACCATGGAATCCAGGAGCAAACTTATTAAGAATAAGGTCAAATGAAACTAAATATTCTTTCTCAAGCTTTGGTAACACAGCTACAAATTTTCCCTTTACTAATGAAGTGGGAGAATTACTAACAATGTACTCTACAAAATAAGATAACAATTGTAACTTACAAAAAAAGAAACTTAAGTTTAAAAAATAAAGTAATAAATAATATTCTTTACCAGGTGATCCATTGACAATTAAAAGTTTTGCAATGGTACCATGTTGAGCATCATACCAAAGATCAGATGCATATACCTTTACGTTTTTAAAATTTCTAGGATCAGAATTTTCAACTTTATGAATATTTAAACCATTTAAATCAACAGATAGCCAATATTTACTCTCTTGAAAATCTTGACATACTTTAACAAATGACCATTCACCTAATCTAAGAGGAGGCGTTTCAATATAATAGTTTGCATTACCATTTATTGAAACAACAATGACAAGCTTTCCAGAGCCATCTTCATGGTACCAAACACCTAGACTTCTGTAACTATATAATTCAAAATTTTTACCCAACGTTAAATGAAGGACATTTTTTATACCTTTAATGAACTTTGTTGGCTTTACTTTAAAAGACACAGAGAAAATCTTTTTTAAAACTCTAAGAGTTCCAAGAAATAAACCTTGAACCAAACGAAATTCTTTTCTGTTATCAACATAATCTAAACAAAAATTTCATCATTAGAAATTTTATGTAACATTGCTGAACTTAATAGTCCATTAAGCCCAAATGGTGAGTAAGAGTCTCTCATTTATTTTTACAAAAAAGTATAAGTATATTTAATGTAAAAATTTTATTTGTGTAGCATTGTATAAATACATCTGTAAGTTTAATGTCAGTAGGGTAAGTTGAGTAATGTGTATATTATTTGTGAATAACTTTTTAAAATTTTCTAACAATTAAAAGTCTTTTTTGCTTAAATTGTTTTGTTTTGTATTTAAAAAAGGTTTAAAAAACTAAAATAAGTGTTTTTGCTTAGAAATGGATTTGAACCCATGAAAATGTTAGGCCCTAATTTCATGCGCATTTAACCACTGAGCTACTGATGATATATGCTATTTAGGAAAACTAACCGCTTTATAAACTTTTTATACCAATTCAACACTTTTTAAATAAGAACTGATTGCAACCACGTTTATACCATTGCTTAGAAATTTATAAAAGAAATAATTCAAAACATCAATATTTTTTCAAAGAAAAAAATAATTTTTAACTATTAACTTATTTTACATACCTAGCTCCCCTAGACTCATTTTTTGGGTTTTCTTTTGCTTTTAAATAATCAATTTCAACAGTAGGGTTGAAATTTTATAATACATCTTTGAAAACATCTGGGAAAATGATGCACAACTGTCATCTATGTTGCATGTTATGGGTTATATCCCAGTCGGCACAGGATGTCCTTGGACATTCAAAATGGTACATCTTGGGATATCTAAAAATATCTATATTTGAAATAGTACGTCCTTGGACGTCTGATGAATATTTGCATTCAAAGAATGCAGACCATTTTTTTTTTTTCCAAAACGGTTTGAAAATATTGACTTTTTTGCCGACTAAATATCACAAAATTTCCCGTTTGAGGGTTGATTCTATATATATTGGGGATTCCAAAACAATAAATTTTAAAATCCTGGATTAAAGTCCAAAGGAGATATTTTGATTTGAATTTTTTAAAATTTTTTTTTATACTTTACAAATATTTTTTAGCAAAAATATATAGTTTTTTTTTACCATACTCTAACAATTGTGACACAACCATTTTCCTTTGAACACTCATTTAGAATATTCTCTTTAAATAATCATTAGTAATTGCTACGCAAGTAATTTCCTCCAGACCAATATTTGTCACACTCCCTTCAGACAATGAATGATTACAAAACTATTTCCTTGGAGACAAATTCAGCACAAAGAATTCGCACATAAATGAAATAAAAATATGTAGCACTAAACTTATGATAGTCAAAATACGAGAAACTATAAACAGTTTAACAGTATATAATTAAGTTTAATATATTTAATATATGAACGTAAATAAAAGTTACAAATATTAACATGACTTTCTTTCTTTATATCATGCTAAAAAATATTACACTTACAAATTAGATAAAAATAATAATGCATAGGTATTGGAATCATTGTTATTTTTAGCTATTAAAAAAAAAAAAAAAACCTCTACATTTTTAAGACCATAATGATTTTCAAGTCATAAGACCATGATGATTGCAGAAGAACAGTGATGTTATTTTTATGAAGAAAAGTGACGGAGAAATTTAAAACAATTTCATTTCTGATATTCATTATTTGATTTCATCAGATGTGAATTTTCAAGATGAAAGAGTGCCACTTGGAATTTGTGTTACATGCCGTTGCAAGGTGAATAAATTGGGTGAGCTAATGCCTTAAAGGCAATACAACCCTACAGTTTTGATTCCATTGTTGTGAAACCATTAACAAGACTTACAACATGTTGTGTTTGCACTATTTCTCAAATTGCGAAGGTGAAAGGCAAAGAAAAACATCCATTTCAAAAGGGCATTAAAATATTTGTAAGAAGAAAGAAAGTCAGTTGAAAAATGATGCTTGTCTATCATTGCTTGTGGAAATTGCAGTGATACAACTTGCTGTGCAAACTTATATCAATTTGCATTGGAAGATTCTATTGGCGCAGAACAAGTTGCTTCATGTCATTGCATAGAAAGAAGCATCTCCAGGCGGAACAATTCGTCTTGGTCAAGCTCATGGCAAACCTCTTCCAAAAAGAAAAAGTTAGTTATTTTATTATTCTGTACATTCTGAGCAATACAATTTATATGTGAAGTAACTGATTTAGTTTTCTTTCTTAAGGAACATCTGCAGCTCATTCACTCTTTCAAGGCTATTTGAAACAAAAAATATGGTTGATGTTCAGCAGAGTACTGGGCTTTCAAACAATAAAATCAGAAAGCTTTGATCTTTTATAAACCAATTACTCCAGTTCGCTTTCTTGAGCCAAGTTTTCAACAGAAATTTGCATCAGCAGTACCTAGTTGAAATGATTTTTTTATTGCTATCAATGTAAAATTGCCAGATTCTAATGAGGTTTGTGACATTGTTCATTGTATCAAGTTAAAAATCCTGAAGGAAAACATTACAGTTTCAAAAGATTTGATGAGCTCGGACACTTTGAAACTAGGCCTTAATGGTGGAGGGTCTTTTTTCAAAGCTAGTTTGAGTCTAATATCTAAGCACTAAATAGAACAACAAAGTCCAGTAAAAAAATCAATTAAGTTGGCTTGAAGTGAAAATTTTAAAATCACAGGCCTCAAAAAGCAACTAATTGTAGGAATCTCTGAAAACACTACTGAAACATTTGGCAATATCAAACTGATTTTGGAACTAATGCAAGTTAATGAGTTAATTGACAAATTGATTCTGTCATGTGACATAAAGCTTGCAAATATTATATTTGGAATTCAGTCTCACAGTAGCAAGCATTCTTGCTGTTGGTGCAACATTGAGTCAACAAATTTGAACAACTGTGGTCAACTCAGAACATTTGGAACAATCAGAGAGCAACATCAAATGTTTATTTTATCTGGTGCTGATCTAAAGAAATCAAAAAAATTTGAGAATGCTGTTTATCCATTATTACTTCGATTTCTAGATGAAAAGCTAGTCTTAGAAGCTATTCCTTCAATGGAACTTCATTTGCTTCTCGACGTTGTTAACCATCTTATTAAGCACTTAGTTCAAGTTTTGCCAAAAACAAAAGAATGGTTGACTTCAATACATATACCATTACATTCATACAATGGTGGTCACTTCAATGGCAATGATTTCATGAAGTTGCTTAAAAAAAAGTTGACTCTCTGAAGCAGATAACCGTGACTGATAAGGCATTTGAAGCATCATCCATCTGCCATGTTCTACATTTGTTTCTCCAAGTTATTAACTCGTGTTTTGGATGTTCACTCAATTTCAGACTTTGAGAAAAAGATTTAAGAGCAATTATCTAAAGATTAAGAGCAATTATCTAAAGTTGTCTGTCACACCAAAAGTTCATGTTGTCTTTTACCAAGTTCCACAATTTCTAAAGTACCATAAAACTGGTCTTGGAATTTACAGTGAGCAAGCAACAGAGGCACTCAATTCAAACTTCAAGCCTCATTGACAAAGATTCAAAATGATTATGTCTTATCCACAGTATTCCAAACAGCTGTTGAATTGTGTTGTTGAGTACAATAGGAAAAAATTCTGAAAAGCACAAAAGGGTTCAACGAAGATATTTGTGATAATTAAACTTAGAAATGTTATGAATAATAATTTTACATATTTATTTTGTATTTTTTTATTGCTATATTATTTTTTTTTTTTAGTAACATAAAATGTGTATTAAAATTATTTGAGCTAATTTAAGCTTTACAATTCCAAAATAAAGTACTTGAGTAAGTGAGAAAATTTGTTAATTTTGAAGCTAAATATCTCCCTTGGATTTTTACCCAGGATTTTAAAATTTATTGTTTTGGAGTCCCCAATATATATAGAATCAACCCTCATAAAAGGGCAATTTTGGGATATTAATTCAGCAAAAAAGTTAAAATTTTCAAACTGTGCCAAATGATACGTTTACACCTGAGTGAATATAAATTGTTCTTTAAATAGTTAAAAAAACAGGTTGAAATTTGTCAATTTTTATGCTAAAAACCTTAACTATTTATTTATCAAATATTATAATTCGCTTATAAATTATATAGAGGTTATAGTTTAACTATATAGCTTTATGGTAATAACTTTTTATTTAGATTTATAAATTTAATCAAAAAATATGGACCTAAATGGTAATCAAATAGGCAAAATATTTTTCTTTCAAAAAGTTTATATTGTGACCTCACGATCATTAATCTTTATCTAACTTAAAATTCAATTCAATAAATTCAAACTTCTTCATACTAACTATAGAACTACATTTCTTTATTTATCAACTTTAATTTTGTATTATAAATTATCAACTAAATTTTATCAATATAAATTACCAATACAAATTCTGTATAAATTTATTAGATATTTTCTACTATAAATTGAAGGGATTTAGATGTGTACCAAAAACTTACTTTTTTTTTCTCCAGGATACCCCTCAAAACATGCGTAATTTAGAGTAGAGCTCAGCAAAAAAGTGTACCAGAAATAGTTTTTTTTTTCCTTCTTGAGGAAAAAAAAAACTATTTCTGGTACATATCTCAAGGTACAAAACTATTTCTGGTACATATCTCAAGTCTCTGTTATTATCTCAAGTCCACTGAGGCTATTAATAACCATAAAAACATAATCAGTTGTCAAAAAGTGATTTCTGTAAAATTTAAAAAAACAAAATCTTTTGAAAATGAGTGTTGTTTTGTTGACAATGTTATTTAATTTGTTATAATGTTTTATATGAATATTAAGTTTTTGTAATAGGCTCAGATACGCTTATTTAAAATATATTATAAGAGGCTTAAACTTAAGCTTACAAAACTCGCATTCTCATAAGCCTTGTGGGCTAGAAAAAAATTATCTATAACTGTATATAAATATTATTGTTTTGCAAAACAATAACTTTATTAAATGGTTGTCATGTATCAAATAAAAACCAATGAAAATTTCAGTATTCTGGTCATAAACATGCCTGATTTAAAGTAACACTCAACAAAATGCTTATCATATGTTTATAAACATATAATTTTCTTACAAAAAAAACATGTCACATGCCAATTTAAGTAATATTTGGTCAATTAAAAAGTTTAGTTTTGTGGCTTCCATTGGTTGTCCTCTTAGAAAAGATGCAAATAAAGGAAAAAAGAGGAAGACACTAATACAAGAAAGCTACTGTTTTCCATAAAGTATTCATCAACCAGCTGTCATGTGCAGCTGATTGATAGAATATTTTAACCAGCTACTCAGCATTAGAAAACCTCAGATATACATTTTTATAAATAAATGCTGAAGACTATTTTAAAATTCTTTACAGTTTAAATCTACTAAGTCTGTTGTACCTTGTTCTAAATTATTTTCTGGCAAATATCTTACCTGCAAGAGTGAAACATTCAAAGATCCGCACTAGTTGTTACTTCTTTTTTAATGGATGCAAAGAACAAGATTCAACAAATAATTTAATGATATTGACAACACAAATGACATCAATCTGAGAGTAATCTAAGCTGAACGCTCCAAGAGAGTTGATCAGACCAGGCAGATTTTATCTTAAATATAGGAGAGCATTACAACATTGTTGATCAGATCTTTGCTATATGCTGTGAAATTACTCCTTCTAACACTACAATGCTGAAGTACTTTTTTAGAGTTTTTATCATCTTCACATCCTTCCCTGTTTTTTTTATTTATCTGCAATACATGTCAGAGGTACACATGTCAGAGGTACACATTTCTCATTTTGTGGAGGATCTTACTGATGAGAAAATAAAATGGCACAGGAAAGCACTATACGTAAGATCATATAAAAGCTGGTCACTCAGTATGAGGTGGATAAGATGGAGCAAATCAGGTTTGATTAGAATGGGTTACACATTAGGTTGTTTTGAAACAACATTAATAGGGAGGTCCTGAAGTTCCTCAAGAGGCAATTGACCACAGAGGTATTTAACACGAGGACTACAAGTAGCTATGTGAACTAGTTGTCTTTTAATTATTAGGAGATGTACCACTATTTCATTTTAATCAATCTGGAGCCTTCCATTAATAGTCGAAGTTTATTATCAATCTTTTTTTTTTTTTTATGAAGGAGAAGGGGGGGGGGGAGTACATTTAAGAGTTTTTTTAAAAAACTAATATTATTAATATTTTATTCCTAAGGTGTTTAGTAAATACTTCATACCTGCTTGCCTATAGGATGACTGAGAATGTATTCTAGGTGATAAAGAAGAAAAAGAAAAAGATTATAAAAATGGCACATTTAAATTTGTCTGAGCAGATTCATACGGGGAAACCGAACTTACCAGTTATCAACAGGTCAATGGAGCATATTGAGTGTGGTTTCTATTGTTCATGATTCATGCTTATAGGAGTATACTGAGCTGGTAGGATAGCTGAGAATTATGTTGGAGAGTTACAGAGGCAAATAAAGCAAAATGACTGTTAGACATTTTGCATATTTAAAAAGTTTTTGAAGCTAATTGAATGTGTCAATACTGCACAGAAAAGGTTATCCTATTGATCCAGAACTTTGTTAGAGACAACTGATTGTCTCTACACAATAAAGAACCTCATACTCGTTGCCAGAGAATAACTTCTTAAACTAAAAATAAATATATATATATATATATATATATATATATATATATATATATATATATATATATATATATATATATATATATATATATATATATATATAATTATATATATATATATATATATATATATATATATATATATATATACATATATATATATATATATATATATATATATATATATATATATATATATATATATATATATATATATATATATATATATATATATATATATATATATATATATATATATATGTGTGTGTGTATATATATATACATATATATATATATATATATATATATATATATATATATATATATATATATATATATATATATATATATATATATATATATATATATATATATATATATATATATATATATATATATATATATATATATATATATATATATATATATGTAGCTATTTATTTGTAACCTGTGGCTTCTAATTCAAGTAAAATAATTGATGATAATGATAGGGAACGTTGTAAACGGGTTGAGAAGAAAATGCAAGGCAACTTCTAATGTTTACTCTTTGACAAAAATCTATATTCCAATTTTTATTATTGCTAAAGAGTGATGTTATAAGTGTGTAATTTTAGCCACACGTGATAAAACATTACATGTATATTAAATTTAGGCCCTGCGGGAAAAAAAAAAGACTTGATTTCTTGTATCAAGACTCAATTTATTATTGTTGATAAAATAATTTGGTATAAGAATGAGGTAAATAAAATTAAACGCTGCATGGGCAGCGTTTAATTTTATTCAAGTGAAGAGACAATTTTCTTTTTTAAATTAAAACAGTATTAAATTGGGTCTCTTCTTTTTAAACATTTGAAATTGCTAATAAGCTCTAAGATTGCATATTTATTTTATTTTTTTGCTCTAAAAGCAATTTTTAAAAGAACTATTTTTCTACCATTTTCTAAAAAATATTTAACTATGTAAGGAATTAGTATAGAAAAGGTTTGTGTGGAATATACTTACCAAGACCTCTTTTTTTCCGGGTTCAGATAGCTAGTTAAATTTATTGCTAAAGCTGTTTATTGTGACACAGCATGGAGTTTAATTTGTAAAAAAATAAGGAGTTTTAATTAGATAACTCCATAATTCCATACAACTATCATTACAAAACATCTGAATTATAGTTATATTTATTTTTTTTTTTAAAAAAAGGGCTGTAATTAAGCAATATGTGAAAATTGTTTTCTTATTTGACTTTTATTGTATCAAAATTAAATTTCTTATGAATTTTCAATGTAATTAATTATAATAATTATATATTAATACACATAGCAGGAATTCAATTGATGCCATATTAATACAGTGTTCAATTTATGCCATATAAATAATTTTATTAATATAGCATGAATTAAATTTATGTCATATTAACAAAATGACATAAATTGAACAAATAAAAAAATCACAGTAAATTGAGAGTTTTTAATCTTAACTATACTAAGGGAAGTTGTTTACATCTTGTTTTAAATACCTTTAGGTTGAACAATGAGAGGTTGCAAACTGCTATCTAAAAAGCAACAACAACAAAAAAAAGTTATAAAAATAAAAAAATTTCAAAAATTGTTTTAAAATTAAAAAAAAATTCAAATAAGTTTAAAATATAAAAATTGTAAACTATAATATAAAAATAAAAATATTAGTTAATTTTATATAAAAAATGTTAAAAAAAAAACAAAGTAAATTTGTTTCATTATTATTAAGTAATAATGTTGTTTGTATATTATTGACATACAGATTAAACTCAAAAAAAACTGAAAATAGTTTTTTTTAAAAAAGTCATTTTATTTTTAAAAAATACCAGATAAAACTTACTTGAAATTCCATTTATTATAAACAAGTTTTTTATCAAGCAATCATAAATATTTAACCATTTAACTGAAGCATAAACATACACATTATCAAAGCTTTGGGTTTGATTATTGATTTTAGAAAATACAAGTTCTCCGTTAATTTTGATTGTGAATATATAAGATGTATCTTTCATAATTTGACACACTTCAATGTTTGACCATACATTGATTCCAATAGGATTGGTGATGAAAGAAATAAAACCTTGATCATCAATAATAGGAGTGTATATTTTAAGTCTGCCACTACCATCCTCATGAAACCAAATGCCAACTATATAACTATTAAAATTAGCAAGAAAATAAAGAATATTAAGTTCTTCAAAACCAAAATCGTAAGGATAAACATCAAACGAAATAAAATATTCCTTTTCCAGCATTGGTATCTCAGCAATAACATAATTGTTGAGTAAGGAAGTGGGGATATTACCAACAAGGTATTCTAGAATAGAATATTTTAAATAATAATAATCTAACTCAAATTCAAATAAAAAACATAAATGAAAAAAAAAAACTTAATTTTAATAACAGTTTTTACATATAATGATAATAGTTAAAAATTTTCATACCAGCTTTTCCATTAATGATTTGTAGATCTGATAAGGATCCATCTTGTAAACTTAAACGTACTCTAATGAAGTACCATTGGCCAAACATATAAGGATTATTTGCTTTAATGGATGAGACATTAAGATTATCTGTAGTAAAAGTAACTATGGAGTTGTCATTGTAGGTCCAAATGCCTTGATTATTATCACCATAAACTCCAAATTCACTACCCAAAGTTAAATGAAAAACACTTTTTAAACTCTGATTGCATTTTTCTGATTTTTCATTTAAAGATACAGTGTACTCCTTCAATATAATATTCAAATCTCCGAGGAAAGAGCCATGAGTCAAAATTATTTTTTTTGAATTGTTTGTCAAATCTAAATGATATTTAAATAGAAATTCAATAAATAACTTAAATTAAAAAACAACTTGAAATAATAAACAAACTTTAAAGCAAATATTCTTATACATATGTATGTATATATGTATATATGTTTAAGTATAAATATATATTTAAGTATATATATATATATATATATATATATATATATATATATACATATATATATGTATATATATATATATATATATATATATATATATATATATATATATATATATATATATATATATATATATATATACTAGTATTATATATAAATTTTTATTAATTCAGAAATATATATATATATATATATATATATGTATATATATATATATATATACATATATATATATATATATATATATATATATATATATATATATATATATATATATATACATATATATATATATATATATATATATATATATATATATATATATATATATATATATATATATATATATATATATATATAAATATATATATAAATATACATATATGTATACATATATTTTCTTTCCATCAAAATGTTGTGCCCATAAAGATTTATTATAACTTTATTAAAATTCTTTTTTGATCCTATCAGTTCCATTCAAAACTGCTTTGCAAATACCTACCTGTGTTGGAGTTACAATATTAGTACCTTCTTTTGATACTTGATGACTTTTTTGCTATGGTGTGTACTTAGTTTTACATTCTTTACTAAAGAAACAGCTGAAACAGATGAAGTTTTAATTTTTCTTTTAGGTCTAGTGAAATTGCTAGTAGATGGGACAAAATTATTGTCAGTCTCTCTTTCATTGTTACTAGAGTCAGAGTCAGTGATTTCTATTTGATGTATGATTTTGCTGACAATTTAGATGTATGAGTTAAAACAATTTTTAAAGTAACATATCCTACTTTTCCATTACTTTATACTTTGTAAAACCTTTTTTCTTCAGTACTCAGCCATACGCTTTTTTTATTTTTAATATCAAATAATATTTCATTGTAATAGCTTATACTGATTATCTGTGCCTTTTGATCTCCATGATATTTACTCACCAAATTTTCAACTTTTCTTGAAACTGATTTTTCTGTAATTGCTGGAAAATTCAGTTTGGTCCATAATGAAATTAATTCATAAGCAATAACTTTATATCTTACAAAAACAGATTTTTTTAAAGAGCCCAAGTAAATGAACCTCCCTTAAACAACTTGTGCATTTGGAATTTTAATTAGCTTGTCAAGTGGTTCTTCAATTTTATTGATTTCAGTTCTTTTTGCTTTTGCTTTCTCAAAATGAACTGAATTGTTTTGCCAAGTTTTCTTGTTTTTGTTTATGATATCACTGCTTATTTTATAAACCTCTACATAAAAGGATCTAAATAATGAAATTTACTTTATAATTTAAAACATAACATTATAATAAATTTACTTACACATTAAATAATAACTTTAGCAAGGTTTTGTAAAACCAAAGAAAAACTATAAAAATACTGAATTAAGTGAAACGAAAAGTAAACTAGCTAGTTTTAAAAAAGTGATCTATGGGAGACATTTTTAAAACCAATCATCAAGTTATATATAATTTCACAGTCCCTAAAAAAAGTTTCATCTCTTTGTGTTTAGACCTTAAAATAATTGAAAGATTTGAACAAGTTATCAGCCTAATACAAATATGTATATATATATATATATATATATATATATATATATATATATATATATATATATATATATATATATATATATATATATATACACATATATATATATATATATATATATATATATATATATATATATATATATATATATATATATATATATATATATATAAATATATAAATATATACTTATATATATAATAAATTATCATTCCATTTTTGAAAAAAACGGCGGTTTTAAAATTTTACTAATTTTATGGTTTGTTTTGGTTTTATTGTTTCAATTAAACTAGTGTTGCATCTAAAAAAAGTTCACAATTTTGTCGACAGCAAAAAAAAACAATTTGCAAAAGTTGAAAAAAAATTTTATTGCATAACAACATCAAATTAAAACTATTAAGTTAGTTTATTTTAATGCTATTCAACGGTTAACATACCACAATATTTGTTTGTTTTTTTTTGTTTGTTTTTTTATTATCTTTATTTATTACTACAAATAATTTGTTTAGAATGAATCAAAAAAGAAAAGAAGGGGGTCAAAAAGAATGTATCAATAACAAAAAAGGTTGAAATTTATACCTTATTTTTATAATATAAAAATTATACCTTATTTTTATATAAGAGCTGTCTCTTATACAATACATTATATAGTCAGACACAAAAATATGGGCAGGTTTTTTATATAACTCATGCATGAGCAATCACAAGTAAATTTTAATGACATTATATCAACATCTTTTACTGTTATTTATTATGAAATATCAAAAAATTACTTTCAATCTGTTGAACAATGCTTAACAATGATGTTATGTACTGAAAAAGTTCCTTGTAAATGTTATTATGTAAATGTAAATGTTATTATTATGCAATGTAAATGTTATTATGCCAGCAATAAACATTAGGACAGTTGAAAAAAATATAATAAAAAAATGTTGCCTGAAACAAAAATTTAATATATCACAAAAAATGTTATACCAGCAGACTTGCCAAAAATTTTTAAGCAAGTGGATGAGTCAATGTTAATTGGAAATAATGTTCTGCTGCACAGTAAGGTTAATTTTGCGGATTTGTGTGCTTCATTTTTAAAAGAAAGAGATGACAAGGGGTCTTTTGTTAACAAATCCTTAATAATAAAAATAAGCTTGTAAATGAATTAGATCACAAAAAGAGAGTTTAAAAAGAAAGGTGTAAATTGAACAGTATTATATTCATTTCGATAAGTTAAAATAAAATAGTGAAAATAAATTCCCACCACATTTAATAGTGTAATAGAAAATAAATTCCCACCACAAAATAGTGAAAATAAATTCCCACCACATCCCACAGCAATATTTTGTACTACAATTTGTTAATAAGAAACAAGAAATTGCAAAAAATGTTACATTTGAAAAGTTGGAGCATTGGATTTGTAAAATAGAGCATGTGAGAGCAAAAGTTTTTGCTTTAATATAAATTTTTAAATAAATTCTTTGAAATGGTATTAAAAAAATGATATTATTTATTGTTGGAGTTGTTGGAGTTTCGTCTAGAGCAATGAGCATTATGAACTTTAATATAAATTTTAATATAATAACTACTACATATATATTTATTTTAATATCTAAAAAAGGGCAATCAACGAAAGTTCAGCATTTTTGAATATAACACTCCAAAAAATCTATAAAAAACCAAAAAATACAGGCAAAATATATTATTATTAAAAGTTAAGCAATCTTTGCATTAATTTGAACATTAAAAAATATCAGAGTTACAATGCAGTGACATTTATTTGGGGATACTGTTTTTTTTCTGGCAAAGGCAGAGGGGGAGGTGATATTCTTAAGGTAACCTTCCCTTGCCACTTCCTTCTTCCAGTTAACACTGGTGTCACAACAATAATTTTTAAATACTACATTGTTTGTGTTTACCTTGTCTTGTTTTATCCTAAGATAAGGAATTGATTTAAAACAGTGTCTTATTGCAAAAGGTATTTCTTTGAATGCATAGCAATGGACATAAGCGTATGCTACTTTTGTTATGCTAAGAAAAATTCTTTTAAGATTTTAACAAATGTTTAAGTTGCAAACACTATGCTGTCATTTAACACTTACGTATTGTATTTGAATAGTTACTTTCAATTTAAAAAAAAAAATTATCCACGTACAAAGCATAACGTTTTATAAATGTTATTACTATTATTTTAATTTTCATTGAGATTTAAATATTA